AGGATAACAGGCAGCTCCTTCTCTGGGACAGTAAGGCAGGGAGGTGTGTTTTGATTCAGGTATGTAACAATATCTGACTGGACACCACAGGCAATTGAATACTCATCATGTGGCACCCTACTCAAAGGCAAGCAGGGTCAGCAGAAGTCTTGATAATTTTTCTGTGCTTCAGAGCCTTTGCTCATTCTGTAATACAGTGTTCAGTTGGGGATTTTTGTCTGGATTGTGGCACAAATCTACACTCTGCAGTCAAATATGAAAAGGCAACACTCTCATACAACCCTGTGCATGCTCTTCAAAGATCATCCTTCTTTCCTGCAGTCACAAAGTCTACTGCCTTGTCGGGAGATGGACCGTCTTTGTTCAAGTCCAGGCTATTCAAAGGAAATTTACTTCCTTTGATTTATTGCCAAGAACAGGCACTCCTGACCCCAGAAAAGGAGATTCTTGTGCTTTTCATTCCCATTTCCTGCCAGACAGTTTGTTCCAAGTCACTGCTAGGAGGGCTGTTTGTCTGGTGAGGGTAGCAGGGCCAGAGCAGGTGCAGCCATCACTTGAGGGGGCTGTGGCTTTCACTGGAGCAGACAGCCAAACTCGGGAGTCAAGGTTGAAAAAATTTCTGATGTAGGGGCTGCCTAAAAATAAATGAGTAGATCTATCAGGAGATGATTTTATCTCTTGATAAATAGCCTCTGCTTTTCAGGCAGAAACGTTCCTTTGATTTGAACTCTGCCACGCTGCAAAATTAATCATTATTGGCATGTGGTTTCCAGGTCCAGTACTATGGATGTGCTTCCTGCTCTTTGTATCACATCTGGACCTGTGCAGTGAGCAGTGGTTTGCTGCCCTCATGCTTGGAATCATTTTGGGCTGAGGTGAACAACTTGCAGTGTGCCAGGCAATGCTGCTGCTTTGGTGCCTTTCAACAGTGTTGTCAGGATCCCATGGCACAGAGGGAAGGATGCTCTTCTTTGGAGGGAACCAGAGAGCACAGTTACATCCCACCGTGGCCCGAGCCATTCTTACTGGGACTGGAGTTACACTGTGGGTGTTCTCAAGGCTCGGGTTCGACAGTGAACCAGAATGGACATTCCTAGCATTCTTCCTGTTTTGCCACCCAGCCTGCTTCAGAAAAAGTCCTGATGTAGGTGTTTGTATCCTGTCTCTTTCTTCCCTCACTGTATTTGTCTTTCAAGCCTGGCAGCAGTGGAAGGAAACTTAGCACGTGATGCTGACTCTCTGCCATGTCTGTGGGACGGCAGATTCCTAAAGTACTCAAACCTAGCTAAGAGAACAGCTAGGAAAACAGAAGGCAGAGGACTCATAAAAGCATGGAGAGGCTTGAATCCCAGTGGATTTGAGAAAGGATACCAGCTTTTATCCAGGAGCAGAGCTGCTCACATCAGGAGGGCTGTCTGGGTTCCTGCCCCCACTATCCACACGGTCCCTCTCTTAGGACCTCCCACCTGTTTCAGGACTTGGCCTGGGATTTTGTGTTTTATAACAAACAGATCAATGAAAAAAAAGTGGGAGAAGCTCTGAGAAATGTGTGCCTCAAAAAGCCCTCTAATTGTTGTTGTCAGGATGGCAGCACTGCCTGAGAGTAAATCTTAACAGATACAGTTGGAATATTCCCTGCTGGAATATTCCCTAGTTTTCTGCTACTTGACTCCCTACTTCTTATTTGCAGTTTTACACACAAATTCACAGCAAGGCAGGATTTTTCCTTTGCAGACAGTGCTGGTAATGGAGGCCACTCTCCACCAGGCTGTGCCTTCACACTGCTGCCCTTGTACCACTGTGCTTGCACCTGTTTGTCTCTACTCAGCTGCTTCAGAAAACTCCCCTCCAGACTTTTCCTTCCTCCTCGTCCCACCACACACACAAGGGCCCAATTTCCCTTTTCCCAGGCCAAGACACAGGAATGCACCAGTCCCTAGTGATTCCTTCCAGCAAATGAAGAAGTGCTGAACTAAGGAGGGTTTCAGTAAAGCAACATGGCCTCAGCTGAAAAAAATTTGGTTTTCTCCTTTTCTCCTTTGACATGGCACTGTGCAATATTTAAATCCTGGTTCAACAGGCATAATTCTACCACACCATACATACACCTCTGTCTGCACACTGACTCCTTCACCAAGTTTCCATTCAGACTGACTTTCATGGGCCAAGAGCAAGATACTGTGACTCCAGGAGGACTCTGACCAAAGTCTGAGTCACTTCTATCACAACCACCAGGACAGGAGCATTTCTTACCACCTGCCTGCTCTGTGCTTTGCACAAGAGAGCTCCAACCTGGGTGAGCAACCCACTACTAACTTTAAACAAATTACTAATCATAACCATAACAACAATAATACCACCACAGCTCACACATGTGCTGCAGAACAACAACAACCATGATAACAATATCAACATTAGGTGTGTCCACACATGCCTTGCAAGAACCAGCAGCAGTTTTGCCACTCATAAATGAAATCAACATCCCTACCAGTGCTGGGGGATGCTCAGCAGTGCTTTGTGTCTTCAGCTGCTTGGAACTCAGCAACTCCTAAACCATAACAACCACTTCTGAGCTGAACACATGTTGTACTGAAATCTACCTTTAGAAACATACATTATTTAGGTCTGGGAAAGACTGGATTGTAGTTTTCTCAAAACAAGAAACAGAAAAACCAGTCTCCTCTCGACTGCTCCCCAAGTTAAAACAGGGCTTTCTAGGACAAAAGGACAGTGAACTCACCTCTGCCCAGTGTCTCTTTGTCCTGCTCCTTTTTCCTCCGAGGAGGAAAGCAGCTCTGAAGACACTCTTTCCCCTTGCACACATGGTCTTGAGCCAGTTCAGGAGAGGGGCAGGGAACTGGGCTGCAGGGGAACTGCTGGGCTGATTGCCTGACTTCACAGTGTTAACTGGCCAGAGAATCCTATTACTTGATAGGTAGCAAGCCAGGGACTAATTTATGGAAATTTTGACCTTCAGTCCCCTTTGACATTTTCAGATCAGCCGTAGCCTGTGTGAGACATGAGAGCCCTTACAGTAAGGGGCTCTAAATCCGCCTGTGCAGCTGCTGGAGCCGACGAGCGGGTCAGAGGTAAGAATTCACTGAGGTTCGTGTGTGGGCTGCTCGGTGCCTGTTTGACATTTACAAATCAGTGACATTCCTCTGAACAGCTCAGTGCATACAAATCGCTTCAGTCACTCTGAGGAGGGCCCCTCATTTCAGTCAAAGGTGGATTTGGGCATCCTTAGCCTTCCCTTTCGACTTTAGTAAGAACACATAGTGGGATCTGCTCCCTCAGCAGGATGCAGTGGGGGCACTTTTAAGTTCAACCCAACTTCCAAGGACTTTGCACCATCTTCATGGTTTGGGTGTGAAGCCTTTATCATTAGTTTCAGTATCAGACCCCTCACATTTTCACTCGTTGCCACAACAAGCACTGTGTTTGTCCATTTTGTAGCACAAACAGACACAGTCTCATTTCACTCAGTGCTGGGCCAATAACTTGGACCACGAGAAGGCCAATTGGATTTCAACAGCTTCCCATGGAAACCTATTTGCCATGAATAAAGCTCCACTGAGCTGAGCCATATGAGTGGGCTTGCCCCAGATTTCTCACAGTCTAGACTCTATGTAGAGAGAAAACATGATGAGAAAAACACAGCCAGGGCTGTGGACAAGGTAACATTAGCCTCAACCGGTTATTGTGCAACAAATGACCATACTGGCTTCAGCCAGCCTGACCTGTTTAACCACTGCTGCTTCTCTGAACCCTGAGGGTCAGTGTGGACTCTTCATTCCCCTCCGTACTGGCACATGCTGCTCCTCCTGGCTAGAGGCTGTGCTGTGATTTGGGATGCCCTTCCATGGTGTTTACATTGGCCTTGACCACACAATGGCTGGGATAAGGAGGCCGATTCCTTGGTTGTGAACCAGAAGCTGTGGAGCCAAAGGAAGAGGTGTGAGGGAGGCAGGAGGTGTGAGGGCCGCCATGAGGGGATATGGTGGGTATGTGTACCTTGGTAGCCAAGACTGCCATGGTGACCTGCTCCCTTGGTGAAGCTGCCTTTTGCCATCTCAAAGCAAAGAGGGATGATGGTTCTCGAGAGGAAAATCTCTTCCCTCATGCTCACAAGCCACAGCACTGAGGGGAAAGGCTACTTTGGGGGTGTGGGGGTGAAAAAAGGATGATGAAAATCAAACCTGAGGGGGAAATCAGCTCTGAGTGCAGGAAACCTTGGGACAGCAGTGAGGGAATGAGTGGAGGTAAGCTGTGCCCCTGTGATGGCGTGTTGTATGTGGCGAGGCCCCTTTCCCAGCCTTGGAGCGTGCAGAGATCGAAGAGGGACAAAACGAAGGGGAAAACGGAACATAACTGAGGGAAAACTTGGGACAGCAGTGAGGGAATGAGCAGAGGACAGCCACAGCCCACGGGGAGGTGTGTGTGCGCGGGTGCTGCCCCGTCCCCTCATGAGGGAGAGGGCGGGCGGGCGGCGCCGAACGCGCTCCGTGCCTGGGAAGCGCCCGAGAACGCGCGGCCGGGACAGAGCTAGGGGGCCGGGGGAAGGGGAGGGCGCTGCCCGGCTCCCTCCCACCCTCTCCGGATAAATGAGCCTCCGGGAGGCGGCGGGCGGCGCAGGCTGTGGACGAGCGCGGCGCATCCCTGTCCCGTCCCCATCCCGTCCCCCGCCGCGCCCAGCGCTCCCTGCCGGCGGGGCCGCCCCGGCCGCTGCCGCACATACTCGTGGGGCTGGGCGGGGGGATCGGGCTTCGCTTCCCTCCCCTGGGAACGCCTGAGGGCGGGGGCGGCAGGGCCAGGGCCGGTGGAGGGGAGGCGGCCGGGACACCCCGGTCTGGCTGATGCTGGCGCTGCCCCGCGCAGCACCGGGCTCCGGCAGGCTGGTAGCGGCGGTCGGGACGCAGGAGGGGCCCCCCGGGCTCCCTTCCCCTTCCCTCCCTCCGCGGCGGGCGGCGCTGGAGGATTTTCTCCCGCCGCGGCCCCCTCGCTGTCCCCCAGACATGGTAGGTCACCTCCAGCTGCAAGGGATGGACGAAAGCCTGAAGGAGAAGAGCCGGGAAGGCTTGCTGGACAGTCCGGACTCGGGGCTGCCCCCCAGCCCCAGCCCCCCCTTCTACTCCCTGTCGCCCGGTGAGGGCCGAGCAGGGGGCAGCGGCGGTGCGGACCCCCCGGCCCCGGGCCACCGGCGAGAGGCCAAGGACGGCAGAGTGGTAAGAGCCAAACCCGGGCACCGGGCTCTGTCCCCTGCGGGCCCCGCGGGGGAAAGGCAGGAGGGCGCCTGTGGCCACTGCCCGGGCAGCCCTGGGCTGAGTTCCCCCCGCAGTGCCCCTCGCCGGCCGAGGGCACTCCGGGCTGCCCGTGGCGGCTGCAGTCCGGTGTTGGCAGCGCCGCTGCTGTGCCAGGCAGGGCTTGGCCCAGTGCCGGGCAGGGTTTTTGGATACACTCACAGAGCGTTGGCAGTTTGGCTGGGTGAACTGTAATAACGGTGTGGGAGTGAAAGCCCAAGCCTGAACCAAGCTCCCCTGCCCACCTTCGGAAAAGTGTAGTTGTTTCTCAGTGACTCTGCCTGGTGGGTACAGGTTGGAGCTGCATCCATCCGGACCGAGGCAGGGGCGTGTGGCTCCCAGCCATCATTACACCCTGGCATCCCACATCTGGTTTGTGAGGAGCGCGGAGCCGCGTTTGCTGGAGCCCTGGCTGAAAGAAAGACAAAAGTGCCCTTTAGCTGTGGCAGGGTAGGGATGTGTCTCCGGGGAGTTGCTGGGGACAGGGTCTGGGAAGGGCTGTGTGCCGCTGCCCTTTGCTGGAGCCAGGCTTTGTGGCATGAGCCTGTGTGAAAGGTTTGTCCTCTGGCAGCTGAGCAGAGCTGGGGGTAGTGGTTTGTAAACTCAGACAGCTGGCAGAGCACTGCAGGTCTCGGTCAGCCTGATGCAGTGCCAGTGAAGCACTTGAATGTGGAGTAGGATCTGGGTAGATTTATTATCACTATTATTTTGCTTTATTTGTTTATTTTTATCCCTGAGCTATAAAACCTGTTTTTAAAACACAGCGTTCAGAGCATAAGTAGTGGTGGTGGAGGTTTTAAAAGGATGATGAAAGTTCTTCCCCAGGGCTCTTTAAAAATTTTTTAAACATGTATAAAAGATGTTTGTAGGTGTATTCAGCGTGGTTAATTGGCTTAAAACTGCAGCACAAATCTTTCCATGAGAAAAAAATTTATCTACCTCTGGTTTAGTGACAATTTAGACTTCTTTCCCATAGAGACATTTTGCAATGACTCCTCACACCCTCATGCACTTTCTCAAGTTCTAAGGCCTTCTGAGCATATTACTGAAAACTGCCTTTTACTCCTGAGCATGCCAAAACCTTCCCTATGAACAATGACTCCTCACAGTGGAGAGGGTGTGAGGGCTTATTATGAAAGTCAAATCTCAAACCTGCTAATGCCACAGTTCCTAATATGGAGCCTTACCTGCAGATGCCTGGGTGTGTGTGCCATTTGATGGGAGTGTTTATGTACAAAGTTATCCTCATGCCTCTCACTTGGCAGCATCAGGCTGTTCCTGTGTGTCTGTAAAATAAAATTGGGGAGGAAGGTGAGTGAAGGCTGCTGGAGCAAAAAAACAGCAGGGGTGGAGGTGTCTGAAAAACTCTGGGGGATATGACAGTCTCCATTCCAGTCATATGACAGTTGGCCACCACACCATCCAAGAAAGTCCTTAGATATCGAAGAAGAAAGAACATGAGAAAATTTATTTCAGTTCATGGGCTGTTAGGATTGAGAGTTTTAGTGCTTGACTCCTATAGGGAAAAAAGTTATTCCTGTGATCTGTGTAAGGTAAAGTTTTTCAGTTGTTTTGATCATTAATGAACATTTTGGACACTTCAGAAAAGCTCACACTGTAGATGTTTCCAAATTCTGTATCACATTGCAAGGGCTCCTGCTTAGAGTATGGGTTCCATACATTGGAAATGTATGGAATTCCATGCTCTTAGCAGGTACAGAAGGTTGCAGGGATCCAAATGCTGAAACCAGTTGGACTGTATTATTTGGAGTGGTGCTGGGCTCTGCTCTTTAACTCTGTTTGGTTCACTGCAAAATAATGAAGTAAACAGGAATTTTCACTCTATTTGACTGCAGAGAGTTTCACTTCCTCTCCTTTCCACTGTGCAAATACTGTACTTGCAGCTGATACTAAAGCAGGAAAAATATGAAGAGTATTGCTTGCTTCATACTTCTAAATTGCAGTGTCTAATTAGCTTTAATTTTGCCATTTTACAAGGGCTTGCAGAGCTGTGAGCAGTTATGCAACCCATGAATGTGCTTCTGTTTAAGTCTATTCCTCTGCTGTTCATCAGAGCACGCAGAATTGGCAAATCAATAATTGCAGCTATTTGCACACCAAGAAATGCTGGTTTTAATCGCCTGTTATATTAGTGTTTGTTTTGCTTATAAACGTGACAGAGCCAGGAGCACAACCTGCACTCTTTGTGTTGGAATACTATAAAACCATACATAACTCAGTCACCAACAGCCAAGGTTCTACTATGTACGGTTACAATAAATTGCTGTCAGGTGAAGGAAACAACATTCCAGATCTGAGTGAAGTATTTCATACTGTTCTTTGCTGCAGAACTATCAAACCACCAGTCTGAACCCAGTTGCATTCTTCTGCAGTCAGCTATTTTGCTCCAACTTCACAAATATGTTACAAAATTTTTCTGCTTTAGGACAGCCCTTCTCGTGGAGACCAAAAGGAGATTGCATGCCCTGATCGAAGGCTTTCTTGTGTGCACAATCTGTGCTCTCTCTGCTCTGTGTTATTAACTGTGACTCTGAAAACGTAAACTCTCTGCTCTTTAATAAGCACAACTTTGTTTCAAAGACAATGCACCATTTATTCACATTTAACCAGCCAATTTGGGAACAGCTTTGGGATCCAAGAAAATATGAAAGGCAATTTAGGGCCAGAGTCATAAATACCACAAGTTCAACACCATTTGGGGACTTTTTTTTTTTTTTTTCATTTTACTTGTAGTGCAGGATAAATTGGCTTTTATTTCTTCAAATAAAATCCATGTAGGGAATTTGTCAAGTGTTTTGTGCTTAAGTGCAAATATCCTAAGGAAAATAGAAAGTGACTTTTACCTAGTTCTGCCTTTTAAATCTGAAACATTATTAAATTTATTCTTATGACTTGGGTTACTGAATTCTCTAGACTGTGCCTCTAAAGCTGGGTCAGAATGAACAGAAATACAACAAAATAAATCCTAATAATATGCACAAAGAAGCAGTTGCTGACAATGTGGGTAATGAAATGACATCAAAGTACCCATATCTGCTTAGAGTTTTCCCTGTTGTTCTTGCCCTGGGATACTGATTGAGGATAGAAGAACTGCTTTTGGACTGTGCTGAAATAAGTGCTTTGCATCCATCACATATCCCTAATGGATATCAGGGGACATCAAGCTCACGTTCATCTACAGAACTATCCACTGTGTGTTCTTGAAGCAGATTTTATGTTCCTTCCCAACAGCGAAAGGAGCTTTTGCCACTGCAGTGAGTTCCTTTTACTTTGTAAGATTTAGGTATTTGTGCACTCAACCTGCCTCAGTGAGCACTGACTTCTGTGGGACTGTATCCCAGTGAATCAGCTGTGGGGATATAGGGAATTTCTACTTACATTCAGCAGCAAGAATGGTTCAGAATCACTCTTGGGTGGTGGGAGAAAATTCCAGCTTCATTTCAAGTATGGATAAGGAGACCTTGCCCCTTGGCACAGCCTTCACAGACAACAGTGAGGTCCCAACAATGTGGTCCAAGTCAGCATTTGTGCCAACCATGTTGGATTAATGGCTCATGTTAAAAAAACCCAAAAGAACGTCTCTTCCTGACATGCAGCATTTTGAAGACCCCTTGGGTCGCAGAGCCAGCATCTCATCCTGCACTGAAAGTGCTTCAGGAATGGGGCAATGTCTTGTAGGGACTGGGTGGGGAATGTGACCATCAAAGTTTTTCCATGTGTAATTTCCATACCTGTCAGCACCTAGACTGAAAGCACACGTGAGAGGGAGGCCCAGCACCCCGACCTGAGGCAGCTTGCAGCCCACACACGAGGCAGGGGACGTGACTCCCAGGCCCTGTGGGTCCCAGCAGCTCTGGGGAAGCCCCAGGCTGGTGCAGGGAGCAAGGCACCCATCTGGCACCACAGCAGGGTTTGCCTCAGGGCTTGTTGGCAGCCTGGCATCCTGACCCACTTCTGAGCCACTCCCATGGGACTGGATCCTGCAGGAATTCCCCCAGCTTCAGTTCCACGCCTGTGTCCTCTCCTGGCAAAGGCTAATCCCACCTGGCTGTTCCCTGTCCCTCAGCCCCACCCAGTTCTGGATATGCATCCTCTCCTCTTCCTCCTTGACGAAGGACAGGGCATGGCTCTGGGCTTCACTTGATTGGCCTCACCTGATCTGACAGATGTCCCTTCTGGGCAGATCAGGGAAACGGGCATCAGGATCTCATCATCTTCTCTGAAAAGTGTGGCTCTGATCAAAGACATTGAGGGTGATGTCTTCTAGCTGTTGAATTTCCATTGTGTCCCTACATAACCCTGTGGACAATAAGCAAAGTAGCACACATTTCCCACTTGAAATAAAAGAGGGAGATAAGCAGGAAGGATGTAATTCTTTGAAATAATAAACCCCTGCTTTCTACCTGAGGTTTGCATTTTCTGTTATCACCTCTCAATATAATCTCATCCGGCTCTGGTATAAATTACTCGTAATGTGCAATACGTGCAGATATTGGGAAAATAAATGGTCTGTTAAACAAATATTGCTTATCTTCTAGAGCGGAGAATGTAGATGTGTGTCAAATAACTCAGCCAGATCTTTCATTATAGCTGTAAATAACAGCTGAGTAAAGTGACATTTTCATGGACCTGACATGTTACCATAGTGGGAAAATGTGGTGAGAGATTTGCTTATGCCCTAGTTAAGTTAGGAGCTGGGAATTTGGGAAGCTCTATCCTGTTTGTAGCCCTGACACTTGGAAAGCTGTTTCACCTTACAGTCCCTAGAGATCTAATGCCACATCTTAGTGCCTTCCATATAATGACCATAGCAAAAGGAGTCAGTTCTGGTTCTTTGTGCTCTCTGGGGAAAGGTTTTGGGGGTTTATTTATTTCAAGTCACGTTAATTTCCTTTCCTTTTTCTTGCTTTGCTGCCTGGAATTTGGCAGCTAAAGAACAGTCAATGCTGTCGATGAGCAGTAGGTTGAATTCCATTCAGCAACCAATTTTATCTGTGTTTATCTATCTGCTACTTGCAAAAAGCAGAGTTTAGCTGCCCAGGCCGTTACATGCCTGAAAGGCATCAGAGTTAAGGCAGAGGGAAAAATGCAGCCAAACAAGAAAGCTCTTCAACTTTTTAATACTACTGTAACTCTTTGCTGGTTGACACAAATTATGTACTAGGGAAGAAATAAAAATAAAAGCTCATTTACTGCCTAATATTCACCTTGGATTAAGTTGTAAACATGGGAGTCACTTTTTTGATATCTCTCGTATCTTTCATTTTGTCTTCTCAACCTTCCTTGCCAGACTCCTTCTGTCCTTAAAGATGCCAGGGTTGTGGTGTCTTTTGTGAAGCTGCATCTGGTAAGTGTCAGCACAGCTCCAGTTAGTGGGGACAGATGGATCAGGTCCCCACTGCAGCGTTCCAGCACAGCAACCCTTGGATAGACAGACCTTGACTATGGATCACTCGTGGACAGCCTGGTCTGAAGTGATGGGAGCTTCTCCACTTCACCATCAGTGACCCCCAGAGTGTGCAGCAAGCTCTGCTCCCTGCCAGTCTATCCATATTTCAGGATAATACAGAAACCTACCTTATTTGTGGAGTGCCTGGAGATCACCAAGTGATTCCTAGAAACAAGCCAGAGATCCTGATTTTCTCAAGGGAGCTCAGAAGTTCAGTGCTCCTCCTCTTTCAGCCATTCCTGTGCAGAAGGAAAAAGAATTGAGTCAGTATTTTTTTGACAGGCAGAACATTTTTGGTTTTTTTCCTTAAAGCAGGTTGGAAGGAGTCGGTGTCAAACTCTTGCCAAAAAGCCAGCTTTTGACATGTGCCAAGCATATAACATTTCAGCCCCAAAGACAAATCTTTTGGAAAGCTCATATCCCCTGTGCCTTGCTTCCCAGCTCCAGGTGACTTGCAGGAGCCGACATTTCGGAACATCACTGGAGGGAAAACAAAATGTCACCTGAGGTGCCTTTCAGTGGCTGCTGTGTGAAACCTGTGGTTGCTGTTCAGTGACCCTTCATGCTGTGCAAGCAAATCAGTTGCTGTTTGGTGAGCAGCCTGCAGGATCTTAGAGATCTCTATTTTTAGGCCATGATTTGTAAGTTATTTACATCTGCCACGTGCAGACTTCCAGGTTACTTCAAAGTTTCTGACCTGCAGCAGCTCACAGAAGAGAGGTCTGAGTCTGTAATGGTCTTGACAGGCAGTAGAAATCCTGGCTTTGGCTTGCCAATGTTCTCAGTTGTTCCAGCTTTCTAAACTAAGCCAAGCCTGCAGGTCTGAAGTTGGTGCTCATCCACAGCATATGAAATGCCTTTTGCCACCCTTCCCTGCCCAGAGCAAGGTTAACCCCCAATGGAAATAGCCTCATCACATCCCATCCAGCACTAACCTGGAGAACGCTTAATCCTGCTCTCACCAAGTTCAGCGGCAAATTTTTGAGTCTGATTGCTGTCAGTCGTGCATGCCAGCACCTCTGTTTCTCTGTGCACACTGGTGTTGTTCCTGCAGTGTGTTCGTGTTTCCTGTTCCCTGCTGTGGGACTTGTGCTCTCCGCAGACGGGGATTGCCGCCGTGCCCACGCTCTGGCCAAGCAGCACCCCCGATGCTCAGTGGGCTGGGAAAGCTTTTCCCGTGCACACACTGGGGGCCAGATGCCCCAGCAATGTTCCTGCTAAGCCACAGGAAAGACTGTGTAACATCTCCTGCATCCTGGGGATGTTTGGAGCACACTTAGTGTCAGCATTTGTTAGCAAGAAGTGTGAAGGCTTTTTTGCCTTCTTTGAAACTGCTTCTTTAAAGGAGGGACACGTATCCCCAGGCTGGTTTCCTTCACCAGTTCAAGAAATCTGCATCCCTCTGCAGGTGAACCCCCAAAGGGCAGCCTGCCTGCTGTTCACAAAGCTCATGAGCATGTGCAAATGGTGTTTGACTCCTGCACCCAAAGGAACCTCTTCTTATGTACAAAATGTCTTTAGAAAGAGCTCTGGCCTTGTGCAGACTGTTACAAGCTGGACATCTGCACCCTTGTGAACTGAGGCTTGTCTGATGTAAACAATTCACATTTCAGAAGCAAAGAGCTTTATTTACGACCAGAAAGGCTGCCCTTGCCCTCCCCTGTCAAGAGTGTTGAAAGCAATTCAGGAATGAACTTTGCCTTTTGGCCAGTATTTGCTAGGGAGAGTGAACATATATTTTTTTTTCTTTTTACCCCCTCCCATAACTATGCAGTTACTGTTCTGTTTTGACAATGGAACAGTATTCAATCAAAAAGAGGGGTTAGCCATTTTACTTAATAGTACAACTTTACACAGTTGTAAAGTGCAGGGAAATTTCAGTATGAAAAGAAGAAACAGCTTTGTGGCTTTGGGACACAGAATTAAATGGCTTGGCAAATTCAGATGGAGCAGTGACATTTTTTTGCCTTAGCCAGAGGCAGAAGGCCCAAACCAGGAGAGGAAAGCAGACCTCAGCTAGCCATCTACAGACAGCACAGAGGCTGCCAGCCATCTCCTTTAAAGAGATCCTGTGTCCCTGTGCGTCATAAATATCTGCTGACAGAAAAGTTGTGGCAGAGACTGAAACCTGCAGTGACATTTTTCCAGGAGGGCAGGATTAGGCTGAATTAGCTGCTGGGTTTGGTCCAGGCACCAGACACAGGATCCCCATATGTGGGAACTGGTGTTTGAGAGCACTCCAGTATAGAGAAGTGGGATTAGTCATTTCTGTGGTGGGCAGAGGAGCCTAGGCTGGTCTGTGACAATTTGTCAGAGTAAGTAAGTTCACAGTGCAGTTAGTCTTAAAAATGCAGTTTTTGGTGTCATGAATTGGAGCAGCTCCACTCATTATAAAGTCCTGGCTTGCAACTGGCTTCCTGCATTGCAGAGGCCACAAGGTGCCCCAGTGTCTCACCCCACCCTCAGTTTTATGGCTAACAAGAATGTCCTTTGGAGCACAAGAGCCATTTTTGGCACAGAGACTTTGGGAACAGCAAGTCTAACACTTCCTCTGCTGGATTGTTGCAAGGGATACATGATTTTATGTACATATTTGGATGTATATCTATAAAAATACATATACATGTCTCACTTCAGTAGACCTACATCCTTCAAGTCAGCAACCTTAGGCCCTGTTGCTGTGTTAAGTCAGACATAGAGCTCTTCTCCATGCTGACACATTTTGAGTGTTTCTAAGACTTGTTAATTCCTACCAGTAAAGGCAATATCAGGGCTAAAGAACACTCAAAACCAATTGCAATTCCTATGAGAAACAAGAAAGGAAGAAGGAAAGGCAAGGTTAAACTTCAACAAACAGATACTGCAGCATGAAGTGACAGAGATGTGGGCACAGTCACGTACCTGGGAGGTGTGCTGGGGCAGAGGGAGGTGTTGGTAGGTGAGGACAGTCCAGGTGTTGTGTTAGGCTGCTCAGCTGCCAGCCACAGCACGTTATGAACTGTGCCAGCCCCATCTGTTGTGTTCCAACACTTGCTGTGCTCTCCTTCCCTGCAGATGCCTTATCTGCTCCTGAACCCATCCATGCCAGAGATAAGGCCTCGAATGTACCCGGTGTTTTTTGGAGAAAGCATTGAGGTCAACCCTGAGCCCGTGCAGGAAATCAGGTACAGATGGGATTGGGTGGGTAGATGGGGATTTCTGTCTTTTTTCTGGTGCTTCTGCCAAAGATTAAAATGTGTTTACAAATGGGAGTCATGGTTATTTTGATGGAAAGGGAAGGACAGGTGGGAGGGTAATTCCCAAATTAAAGCCACTGACAGCAGCACAGGCAGAGGGGAAGAGGCAAGAACTGGAGGGAGGTTTTAACACAAGGCAGCTTTCCTTCCAAGGTCAGCTAAAATCCAAGGCTATGACAGAAAACCATTACCATCTGTGGGCTTGATGGCCTCCACTAAGTGATCTGATGGTCTTCATACTGTTCCCAGATGACTTGTGTCTTCAGAAGAAGCAACACCCTTCTAATTGGCACCTGTTTTTGTTCGCTCTTGCCACAGAGAAACCAGCATTAGACAGCCCACAGAGACTGAATGAGCTCCTCTGTGTGAGGAGATGGTCCCTCAAGCCAGTGATGGAGATGTTCTGCCCTCCTGTGGGGCTGGTGCTGTGGCCCATGGATAAATGTTGGTCTTTGCTCTTCGTTTGCTCTTTTGCTGATGTGGAATGTATCCTGCAAACAGCGCTTACACACAGCTTGGGGCAGGGACAGTGGGAGGACTGTAAACCCCCTCAACCTATGCAAAAGTCTCTGTGGAAATGTACCCCAGTAAATCTCTGCTAGCTGAGGAACTGCCAGCGGGCATGTTTTTATGGTGATTACATCGGAGTCTTGTTTTATGCGTGCTGAATGACTTGCTTACACCCTAGCTGTGCAAAATACATTACAGCAGCTCAGATTACACACGGTGCACAATCAGTCAGCCCCCTTCTGGGTGGAGGTAATGACAAGCACACACCCAGCTTTTAATCTTTTTTACGTGGAGCTGCACATTCCTTGGCTGCTGATTGCTGGAGGAGCATTTGGGGAGCGGGGAAAACCAGTGGAAATCCTGTTACCCATGGCTAGGGATTCCAGAAAAAGCCCTTTTTCTGGCCCGGTGTCTGTGCATCCTTTCTGGATGGCTGCAGAAAAAAGGCAGGGCTGTGACATCCCACCTTTTGTGGTTTGTCATCTGTTGGCAGTTCAAGTGGCCAGTTCCTTTGAGACCACTGGCATGGGCGTTGGGCAGCCATAGCCCACAATATCCATTTGCTTTACCTGCTCTTTTAGCATTGCTTGGATTTTTTGTAGGCTTCAGCAAGCATCCTCACCCCTCATCTCCCAGCACTCAGATTTTAGCTGTTTTGGGCATTTTTGTGCAATGATGAAAGAAAAGACAGACAGCATTGACAGCTCAACAGGTCCATCACAGGGTGTTTGTCTGCCTCCAGTGTAGCTCTCAGGGCTGAGCTGAGTCCCCAGTGGGGCCCATGGAGAAAACCAGAGGAAGAAGAGCATTGCATGGAGCCTCTGCAACAAGGTGTTTTCTGCCCTGGTTTTGCTGGTAATTGCAGAAATGCTGACATGGATTCATAGCAAGGTGGGGTTCCAACAAGATTCCCCAGCAGGACAGAGTCCTCTTGGCTTTGGGTGGTAGAGTTGGCATCTGCCCCAGAGTGTGCAGTAAGAGTTGGTAAATGCTGCCAGCTTCAAAGGGTTAGAGAAGAGTTCTGCCGGTCTTACCTCCTCTGCTGCCAGGGCTGCGCTCCTGACCCCTTGCTGTCCCCTGTAGGTGCAATTCCGAGGTGAAGTACGACTCGGAGAAGCACTATCGGGATGACATCTTCTACGGCCCCATCCCCACGGTCACCACCTACAGCGAGACCATCATCGCCGCTCCCAACTGCACCTGGCGGAACTACAAGTCCCAGCTGATCTTCGAGCCCCGCCAGAAGCCGGTGAGGTTTCAGAGCACGACCATCATTTTCCCCAAGCGTGCCAAGAACATTTACCGGACCACCCTCAACTACAGCTTGGGTTGTGCCAAGCGCTGGTTTGCTTCCAGCGTGCAGCTGGAACTCTGTGAGGAAACCAACCCGTGCGTCATGTACAGCGAGACCCTCTGATCCGCCCCGCCGCTGGCAACCGCGCGACCCCCGGGAGGCTTCGCGGGGCTCTGCCTGCGCCTGGCTTGGTGGCAACTGAATATTCATGGCTGCAGAACAGCTCTCAGTGAGGCTGAACTGGCTGGGAGGAGGCTTGCAGGGCACAGGATGGTTTTGATCAGTGAGAGGCTGGCTTGTATTTTGCGACGTTCCTGACATTCGTGATCTGGATTTTATTTTTGGTTGCTTTTTTTTTTTTTTTCCTCCGAGTGTATCTATTTTTGGCTTGTGTTTAGATGAAATCAAGATGACAAAGGACCCTGTTACCCATTGCAGAAGGATGCCTTATGAGCTCTGTAGGTCTTGTCTAGCACATAGGTGAGAGTCACTGTAAGCTTCAGAGCTATTTTGGTCTCTGCAAAGGGAAGACCAACTGCAGAGTCAGCGTCTGTTCGGTCCAGCACACACCAGGCCAGATCTCTTTCAGAGCTGAAATGCAGAGGAGGTGGTTATTTGTACCAGTACATCACAGCTTGCTCCAACAGCTCATCTGAGTGAGAGCTGCACTATTACAGCACCGCAGTCGCCCCACTTCCTGAGAGGAGTGGAGACTGTCACCCTGAGAAAAAGAGGATTTAAACAGGTCCCCCAGCTCCTGATGGCAGCTGGATGTTTGCATACCATAGCAAAGCACAGCACAACCAGGAGATGGGAGAAAGGCCTGCTGTGATGCACAGACACATCTTACATCTTCTGTGAGCCCAGCCAGGAGTAAGCAGGGAGACTGAGGAAAATGAACAGCTGAAGGGCTAGTTTCTAAAAGTGACTGAGAGATTTAGGAGCCCAGTGCCCTTCTATCAAAAATATTGTCAGATCAAGTGTACCATGCTGTTCACTGCCTCCAACACCTAATTTAAGGGATCTGTATGCACTTGCAGCCCTTCTGAGTTTCAGGGTGTGGCTGTGTTGCAGAGAGGAGTGTAGAGCAGAAAGATGCTCCCTGGCTTCTTTGAAGTTAGGGCAGGGTTAACTCACCCTCTCAATAGTTTCCATATTTGTGGCATGGGCAGCTTTTCTGCCTGTAGAGAAGCAGCCAAACTTTCTCAGTGTAGAGCTTGAAGGATTGAAGAGCCCAAATCCATCTGGGTTTTCCTTACTCAGCCAGGCTGTAGCACTAAAAACAGGTACTTCACAAACAGCTGAACTGTCTCTGCAAAAGGACAAAGAAACAGTGAGCAGGAGCCAGTGTAGCCATCCTAAGGTAAAACATTCCCCACTCATGAATCCCATCTCCTGGTATATCTTCACTTTGGTCTCTTGCAAGACCTGGATTCCCACAAACATATAACTTTTGAAAATAGCACGGAATTGTCTCCAAAAATCTTACCAAGAATTTTTGCATGCTGCTCAGACTTAGAAATAACCACACAGCTCCGGAAATTAATTTCCAGCTTTCTCTCTTTTAAACTTTCCATTTTGTTCCTGACTTGCTGTGAGTCTGATGGAGTTATTTCAGAACACAGCTGAGCAGCCAAGGCAGAAAGCCTATTAACAATGTCAACAAGACGTAGCTGATTGCCCAGAACAGTTGACGCACAAACCCACTGGGATTTAAAAAAAAAAAAGTCTGAGAAACTTGAAAAAATAATAAAATTAGTGACTTATAAAGATACTTTTTCCATCAGTTTCAAAAAGCAGTTGGTAAATGTGACCAGAACTGTGACCTTTATGAAACAGAGTTCTCTTGTTTAAAATGTAGCACAGTTTTTCCACCAGAGGTAAATATAAAGTCTTTAAATACAAACTTCAGTCCTGACAGCTGAAGCATCATTAGTGCTGAAAGATGTGTGTTATGGCAGTGCTGAACTCTCCCTGTCTTCTGGGAGTTAGGACTTGGTAGGAAGAACCCCTCAAAGGATTTCCAAGGCTTCCACCTACTGTTGAATTCTTTACAGCAGCACAAACAAGGACTATATTTGTTAGTGGTCAGATTCTGCTGTCACTGTCTGTCAGCATCAAAGCCTGGAAAAGCAGCATCTGCTTCCAAAGGGATTATTATGCCTGAAGCAACCCTTCTCCCCAGGGCTCCAGCAAACAGGAGAGCTGGCTTAGGCAGCAGGGAGTTGGTGCCTGGATGAACGTGGTCCCAGTGCAGTGAGGTCAGTGATGCACTTACTTGCTGGTTCATCTTCAGGTCTGTCCTGTTGGCCACGTGCTGCTGATAAGCCTTGGGAGCAGGGGAAATTCTCCTCTGCTTTCCTGGGGACATGTGGAGGCTCTGGAGGGTTCAGTGCCTGCATCCCCAAGAGTCTGTGCCAAGGGGCAGGGTCCCAAGCTGACAGCAGCATGATCCAGGTCCAAAAGCAAGGTCATACTCACACCCAGGAGATCCCTGCACGATGACAGAGTGGACTGATGGAGACAGGCTCACCTCAGAGCCGAGGGGATGCCAGACTCTTCCCTATTCTGCTCCTTTGAACAGCTGGATTATTCCCCTGCTTCGAGCAAAAAGCTTCTGTTCTTGAACACGGTGGTCTTTGAGCAGGACAGTTTTTCCCCAGAAAAATCCCTTTCGTCGTGACTGGCTGCAGGTTTCTGCCCACTCTGTCCACTTTTAGTTCTGTTTCCTAGATATCAGCTGCAACAGTAAAAGAGAATTCAGGGCAAGCCAAAAAAACCTAGTGTGCAAATACAAATCCAGCAGGGAGACTGAACCTCCACCTGGACTGTGACCACAGAGGGAGAGGGGCTGCTGAGGCAAAGTCTCACAGGTGGATGTGACCCTTGGGAGGGTGCAGTGCAGAGCTGCATCCTTGGCACTGGAGGGTCCCACACACCCAGCCCAAGCCTCTTTGAAGCTTCATGTTTTGTTTTCTCTGCAAATACACTAGAGGTGACCTAACATGCTCCTGCTCCTTTGAGTTGAAGCAGCTTTTCTGGTTTTGCCATGTTAGGGAAAAAAAAAAAAAAAGATAGAAAGCAGCTTGGGTTTCTATGCTGCTGAACGTATTTTGAGCTGTGTAGCCACTGTGGCTATGGTAGGACTGTCACCCTGGGCCACATCCAGACTGGGACATTGCCAAGTGCATGAGATCTGGAGAAACTTTTGAAAAATCCCTTTTTATATGGTATCTGCCGTGGGCCCGTCACAAGCTGCTTTTCCTCTCAGCAAAAGCTGGTGTTGGAAAGGGACTTTGTTTTTCCTGAGGTCAAGGAAACCACAGAGGGTCAAGTCTTCACCCTTGCCTGGGCACACATCCTAACCTGCCTGCCCACTCTGTCCCTGCTGCTCCCATCCCTGTGGCTGGGTTAGGCAGTGGCAGAAAAGCCAAAGTTCATCTTACTCATGCCTGGGAAAAGTGATGCCTTTTTTTGTTTTACTTAAACACCAGAAACCGAATTGTGTTTTTGTGTTGCCAATGAAGAATCACTCTGGGCAGCCAGGAAATGCCTTGTGCCATACCTGTAGTGTGTTTGTACATCTGAAAGGAACAATTAGTCCCACTAGGGAGGTGCTTTTCTTTTAAATGGAGTGTTGTTAACCTCAGCCAAAAAATCTTTGTTCCTGTATATTTTCTCAAAGATACAAATGATAAATTTAGACCATGGAAATGTGAGTTTCCTTGAACAGCTGGGACTGCAGCTACACTATTTCTCCCCAGGATCCTGATGTGCATGTTGCCCACAGCTCTGCAATCCTGATGGGTAAAGTCAGACACTGCCTTTATCTTTTTTGATGAGGGGAAGATTGTTTTTTTTCAATATGGAAAGTCCCTGTCTCAAAGGTGGGGGGTGTCTCTCTCCCCTTCATCCCTGTGATTCCTTTGCCCTGGAATACAACAGAGTGTGCTCACGTCTGGCCTGCCTGCATTGCCGTCATTGCATTTGGGGCCAAAAAGATGAAACCCTAACCAAATATTGAACTTTTAGAAGCTGTGGAATATGTTGCACAAACCATAGAGAACAACTTTGACCAAAAGTTTACTGCTTGTCTTCGTTTTTTGCCTTTTTCTCTCTCTTTTTTTTTTTTTTTTTTTTTTTTTTTAATTCCTAAGCCAGCTCTACTTTCCTCAATGTGAAATACAGACAGATTTGCACCCTGGGTGCACGCTTCTGGGACTGTTGAAATGGTGTTTGGGTGTTGATAGCAGTGTTTGAGTGAGCTGCTGGTCAGAGAAGTGAATGCTATTTACTATTTATGTTGAGTGTGTCTTAAAAAAATGGGAAAGGTCACCAGAAGGCTAATGAGCAAAAAAAGAAAAAAGACTTTGTAGAGCAAACTGAAGACTAAAGACTGCCTGAGTCTGATGTAGAGGTGAATGGTTCTGTGTGTGAACACTGTGATCTAGGATATTTAGCCATTGTGGTTTTAGCCTGCCTCTTTTCCTGTAGGAAAAGGCATTTTTGCCTTTTTTAGAGCTGAAACAAAATCAGATCCATCCTCTGTCACAGTCACTGCTGGAGTCTGTGAGCATCAGCATTCCCCAGGCTCACGAGGTGCTTTCTGTGAGCATCAATCAAACAGGCACAGAGCTGTGCCTCAGTGGAGATGGGGGAATACTTTAGAGGGGATGATGGATCTTCTGGTGGGATATTCAGATTTTTATTGCCAGATAAAGTCTGCTCCCTGAGGATCACCTGATCACTCACAAATTGATCTGTTCTGAACATCTCCCCCAAAGCTCTATAAGCAGTGGATTTTATAAGTCTAGGGAGGCACTAATTCTTTTTCAGATACTGTAATGGCCATCAGAATGAGCAAAGTATCCTATCTTGTGAATTGTGACCTGAGGATGGGATTGAAAGGTGTCTGAAGGTTAGAGAAGGAAGAAGAGAACTTATAAGTGGTGGAAATGCATAAGGATGTGTCATATTTTTATTTTTGTAAGTCTGATTCTCTTAAGTGCTTGTAAAGTACTTTACTGTTGTATATGTGGTGATGCAGTAGCTCACAATATCCTTTTATTTTTGTATATTCCTTCCTCCACCATAATCCCTTTCTGTTCAACTCATAGAGAGTA